GCCCTCCTTCTCCCTTGCCTGAGGGCATGGCAGGACTTGGGGGAGAGCACACAGTATGTAAGAAAACTGTACGTAGGGATGAGTGCTGGGAGCGGAGTTACTGAACAGCTTGTTGGTGATGCGGACTAGAAGAAGCAGCACGGGTGTAAGGAATGAGAAAGTTTATTCTGAAGGTTGTTCAATTAGTCTTTAATTGTGTGCTGGCTTCTCGCTGGTCGTCTGGGGGTGGAGGCAGGAAGGCTGCCAGTCTTCGTGGCTCCTCAACTTCCATGCGGGTCTCAGCAGCGCTGGGTTCCGGTGCTTCCTTCTCTTCTGGGTGTGGTGTCTGTGGTGTTTCTGAATTGGGCCCATCCATCCCTGTTGGCCTCTTGTTCCGTCCTCGTCTTCAGAGCTGTGTTTCACACAATCCATGTGGTTCCTGGAGGCGCTGATGTGTGCAGTAGTGAAGGTGGTGAGAGCTGTTGGGCTGTGCATCTGCAAGTGAGAAGGGGAGGAAGGAAGAAAGGAGCAGCCTCCTGCCCTGCTTCCCTGTGCTGCCCTCCCCTGCACAGCCCTGCTCACCGGGTTGCTGCTCTGAAAATGGTTTCCTTATGCTTTTAGGGCTCACTGTGTCAGCAATGCCACGTTGACACGGCCACTGCAGTCAGGTGGTGTGGTGCCAGCACCTGCAGTGGGGTCAGGACTCAGCAAAGCAGACTACGAGGTTTGGGGTAAGACCAGGAAGATGCTGGGGAGCTTTGATTGTCATGTACGAGCATGACAGGCTACAGTATGGATCTGACTTACTTTCTTTGTAGGACACCAGTTTGGAGGGCTGAGCTCCAGGGCTTTGTGTCATCTGGAGCCATTTGTGTTGGGCTGTCCATCTGCAAGGCAGAGGGGAGGAATGAAAGGAGCAGCCTCCTGCCTTGCTTCCCTGTGCTGCCCTCCCCTGCACAGCTCTGCTCACCGGGTTGCTGGTTTGCCAGCCGTTTCCAGTGCTGTCTGGGGCTGCAAAATATCCCCAAGGCTGTGTGGAAAGGGCCACTGCAATCAGCGGGTCAGGTGCCAGCACCTGCAGTGAGGCCAGGACTCAGCAACGCAGCACCAAATGCTGGGGTGAGGGCTGGGGGATTTTTGGGAGCTTTCAT